GCACTCTCAATCCCCAGTGTGGCCATAGGCAGGGATAACTGTGGCATGAAGATATAAGCAACATTTGGGGACCACTAGGCAAGGCCAATACTCAGGTTTTACAGATAGGAAAGCATTCCCCAGGACGGCCAGGCAGCGTGTTGATTCCCAGGTAAGTCTTCCTTCCACTGAATGTGCTAAAGTAAGATTTTATTGATAGCAAATTATTTTTCTGTTGATTTGAGTATTTGGCAAAATTTTGACTCACTCTCAATCGTCACTCTCTTCCAACAATTCTGAAGGAGCATACCCATAGAGGGCATATCAGTAGGGGTCCCCAATGTCAGATAATAGGACTAGTGTTCCTTTAGAGGTACCATGTCTCATTTTGCATCCTGAGAAATAAATAACTTGTGTAAGATTACAAATTCCATTTAGAATTAGTAGGTATGATTTGAAAGTATTTGTCAAAACTGAAAATGGAAAAGAGTCACCTTTTTTCCATTTTTCCATGTCTGATGTGTCCATTAACTGAAGAACTACACAACTCAAATAGTATCTCTTTTCCCCTCAAACACATGTTATCTATTTAACTTCTCCTTCCATGGTTGCAGTTTTTCTTGATCAGTTCTGTCCACATTCTTGTTTCTGCCTTCACTTACCCCTGTCTGTTCTTCCCTCTCCCCTCATACGTGTTTTCTTAAAATAGTTCAGGAATTTGCTCTTTGACACTAAAGTAAATAAATCATCCTTAATCCGGCATCTGAATGGATCTCTGATCACATCCTATGACTTTATTTGAGAGCTCTCAACAACTATGTCTGCTTCATCAATTCTAGGAAATTTTAGTCCTTTGAAGCATTATAAAGTGGTTTTTATGAAATACAAAAAGTAGCCATTAAATTATATGCTTCTTTTGAGATAAGAACAAGAGATCAAAACTTCTGTGAAAGAATGATTTAAGCCCCGAACTCCCCTGCCTGTTCAAAAAAGATATCCATAAAGTTGGCATTTATCACCAGAAGAAAAGATTATTCCAATTGCTTTTGGTGGTAAAACGTTGACCCTTAAGCCATGCAACAGTGTGCTAAATAGATAGCCAATTTCTGTTCCTTTTATCCACAGATTTCAAAGTGCAAGTGAGAGGAAGGTGAGATTTTGGGTCTTCGCTAGTTTAGCATGGAGGGAGAACAGAAGCCAAAAGATTTAAGTGACTTGTTCGTTGTTAGGCAGAAAGGCGGAGGATGAAAGAGAACTGTGAATATGACTCATTCTGGGTTTTTCTTGTAAAATGGCCAAACCAGCCCCCTGGGGCTACTGGGATCCACCTGGGATTCAGTGAGGGTGGACATGACCTCTGTAGTGTTTATGGATGGGATCTTAAAGCTCGGAATGGGATCCTTAACTTGAACATTCAGTGAGCAGGAAGTTCACCTATCAATTGAACGTTTAATTTCATCTTCCTTTTGTTTGCTAAAGTTTTGGAGATACCACAGATTTTCTGCATTGATGATTTTCTGTGTTAAAGATGATGATCTGTATCTTCAAGAAGGCCAGAATATGCGGTGCCTATTTTCCTCAAAGCAGTTGGGTATGAATGCAGAGGGAAATGGCTTTTTCTTGTTGAGCTCAATAATGGGAGAGAGCCATGCAGAGAGGTTTCCTGTGTGTTTAAAAAGCTTGGACACATGCTTCCGCATCGTGGAAGCCAGCCTGCAGGTTTATTAAATGCACCGGCTTCACCTGGTGCTCTGGCACCTTCCAAGGGACACTTGCAGTGTCTATAACGTTCTCCGCAGCCCTGAGGAAGATTCCAGCAGCTCCTTACCCAACTGTCTACCATATTCCACTGAGACGGGGCAGCTGGTCTCTGCTGGGTAAAATCTTTTTAGGAGAAAGTCCCCGTTTTCATGAGAACTGTCAACATGGGTAACTAGTTCCAATGAAGTTATTAAAGTCTCTTAAATCATAGTACAGAAAGTTCACCACAAAAACTTTCATTTCTGACTCAGCTGTACAACTTTAGATAAAATGAAATCCAGTGCCATAATTAAAATGGCTCCCCTGTGGTACTCATTACAACAGGGACCATGAAGGAAGGTTGGGGTCCATGAGAGGTACAATGTCTCTGTCAAAAACTCCTCAGCTTCCTCCGACCCCGGGCTCCCAGAATCAGAATTAAACTCTCAGGTGTGTGTTCAGAGCTGTGTACCTGGCCTGGTCACCTGCCCCCTTCATCAGCCCCAGGACCACCTCCCTCTCACATGGCCTTGGCATCTGCTGAGATTACCGCTTTGGAGGGGAAAGAGTCCTGGCTGGACATACGGATAATATGGATCTGAATACAGGAGACGCTGGGCAGCAAAGACAAACCCTCAGAAAACGATGACTTGGCATCAGCACTACAATGCATAGATGCAGGAACTTGGAGAGGAAAGGCCAGTCATCTTTTATTAAAGATCAGTTTCCTGAAACTGATTTTTGGATGACTTTGCATCCAGTTTGCCAAATGCAGCAACATTCAAATAGGTTCTGAGAGGCAGGCACTTGCTCTTGGTAATATTGATGTTTTCTTTATGTTTCAAACTTTTAATCCAAATCAGCTTATTCCTAGTGGGAAAAGGGCCGGGGTACAACTCTGACTATTTTGGAGAAAAGGAATGGAGTCAGAGAGAGGCCTAGTTATGACATGGCGGCTCAGGGAGGGCCAGAGCTGGATGATTCTGTGGGTGGAGGACGCATCTACTGGGGCGACAGAAACTGCCGACTTTAAATAAGATAGCTTACACGTGGTTGATGACAATATTATGGGCTTCCCTGGTGGCTCAAATGGTAAAGAATCTGCCTGCAACACAGGAGACCAAGGTTCAATCTCTGGGTCAGGAAGAGCCCCTGGAGGAGGAACTGGCAACCCACTCCAGTATTCTTGCCTTCAGAATTCCATGGACAGAGAAGCCTGGCGGGCTACAGCTCTTGGGATTGCAAAGACGTGGACACAACTGAGCAACTAACTTTCACTTTTTCTTTCATAATGTTTACCTAAGTTTCTCTTCCAGAAGAATGAAATTTAACCTCTTGTTTAAAATTCCAGCCCTTCATTTCCTCAAAAGATTTTCTCTTGTATTTGGATTAGAAAAGTTCACTGCCCATGCACTCAGAACCTCAATGGCTGAGGATTCAGATCTCAGGACTCCTAAAGTATCAAGTGCTGATTCCAAATGGAGTTGAGCTGAGAGTACTTAACTATGCTCAGATATTTTCTTCATCTTGTTCAACTGAGCAGAATCCTGAGGTTACTCTCAGAGAAGCAGTGTAACCTGGAAGGTGACAGACAGGTCAGTAGACAAGGATCCATAATCTACCACTTTGCCACTTACTGGCTATGTCACTTGGACAAGTTACTTAACTTAGAGCCCAGGCATTATTTTTGTAAAATGGGTATAATGGTATCAGCTACCTCAGCTGATATCAACAATAGTAACGTTTGATACTTACTAGTCATGTACAATACAAAGCATTTTATAGTTTTTTATATGACCATCTCACTTAATGTTTATAATATCTCACTGAGTTCAGTGCCATTATCTTCATTTTACATAGATGAGGAAACAGACCTAGGGATGTCACACTCATGTCACACTATGACAGCAAGACCATGTCTTGAACCACCACATACAGCATGAATTAACTAAGAAAATAAATATAACACACTTAGTGTTGTGACTGACATACAATAAAGATTCAACAAAAGTTCTGATACAATTAGACTCTGATATTATTTAAAAAAATATCCAGACCATCAAGTTTTAGAATGAAAGGTACCATTTTGTTTTTAATCAGCAGTTAAAATCTTTGGTAGGAAAAAAAAAAAACCCAGAGATTTAATTTTTGTAGCCTCAAATCTAGTAGAGCATGCCTGGGACAGGTGCTCTGTGAGTATCTGTTAAGTGAAGAATGAATACAGATTCTACTTGGAATCATCAGTACTGCAGACAAAAGCTGACTGAAGCCACTCTCAGCTGCTCTAAGCACAAACACATGCAGAAGAGACCCTGAAGTCTGCCTTTGACCATATTCCTTAGTACCGACAAAGCCTCACAAGCTTGTTATCTTAAGGCAACACAGAATGCAAAGAAATTGTGCTGTATTTTTGTCTTATCAAGTAGTTCTTATCAAGGAATGACCTCCTTCCCAAATTGTGCTGTAGACACATAAAGAAAATTAAAGGCCACCTTTTCACTAACCAAGTCAAAACAAGTAAAGTCTTAGGAATGCTGTGAGGTATCTAGTTTGAGGGGAGTCAAGGGTTATGAAATTCACTTCTAATTATATATGCATTTAAAAATTCTCAATCAATATCCATAAATGAAATAAAATAACTTTCTAAAGTTAAAAAAAAAAATGAGTGTAAAAAAATCATGTTCTGCTTAAGGTCACACAATGGATAAATGGCAGAACCATTTCAGGGACATTTTCAGGCTTCTGAAAAGAAACATGGCCTTGGAATGCTGACATTTGAATAAGACAAAGAGAACAGACAAGCGCCACACAGTTCAAATATTCAAAGCTAAGTGGCATTATGTAATCATACATGTCTGAATGCCCTTTATAACTTTTAACCAATGTTTTTCTCAAGGACAAGTTTCTTTGAGATTGTTCCTCTTTTTAAATTCAAGGACAAAGAAAGAGAGACAGAGAAAGAAGATAGAAGTCAATTAAATTCATGCTACTTAACACGGTTAATAATTTTATGCATATTAACAAATATATCTAGAAAGTAACTCATTATGTTTAATAAGCACAGATACTTGAACAAAGAAGTTACGGTAAGATGATTGCTGCTAAAATCCTGAATACACTCCAGTTAATATTCTTATTCAGCTTCCTCTGTGGCTGTTTTTAAAGCTGAGGTAATAAACACCTGAGCTCCACAAGGATCTAACTGTGATGCACGCAAAGAACAGTCTCTCTGGAACCATCAGTGTTGGTCTCGTAAAGAGGAAACCAGAAACAGTAATTACCTAGGCATGTATAGGACTCTCTCGGCCACCACGAAACCCACCCTGAAGAAGAGGTTGCTGGCTGGGATGAACGGGAAAACCAGGAACAACAAGCCCACCAAAACTTCCCTGTGCTCCAGTCTCTGAAACACACAACAGTGGAGGACAAATTAATCTGGGTTTAATTCCACTTCAGTCAGCATTTAACCATCAAGTTTTTATTCAAGGAATGAATAAACTAGACCAATGTGGCCCTTTTGATCAGCGTACTGATTCATCAGAGAAAGCCCTCAGGCTAAAACCTCTGGCTCATGGAAACATTTGCATGTTTGCCTGACACATATTTGCCACCCAGAACATCTGCAATTTGCATAACATAATCAGTGACCATTACTCCTTGTTCTGGGCTGGCCCTACAGCAACACTGCTTGGTCTGGTTTCTTTCAGAGTCTTGTGCCCTCAGGCAACTCATTCCAGGGAGCAAGGCAGCTGGGTAGGATAAAGCTCGCTAAGGCATCATGGAGAATTACTGTCCTCTCAAAATAGAACACATTAAAAACAAATGAATAAACAAAGAAAAAAACCCACACAAAGCCCACCAGAGGAGGCAAATCTTCGCATGAAGGAAATGAAATGCAAAGGGTGAAACAAGGGGCACCAGAGAGGGAGATCCCTTGAGCTGAGGTGTTTTTAGCATCTTTCAAAGTAAGCCAGTAAGCATTTACTTGTTTGATTCCATGAAATTACTTGATTCTATGACATTTTTTGGAATAAAAATTCATTACAGTAATTCATTAAACTGACAGAATACCTTTCTCTTATATTGTATATAAAAAATTTGTACAGATTTTTGTCACAACTAACAAAAATTTTTTATTTATTACGAATAATGTAGTGTAATGGGCACTGTAAAAGGTAGTGTGTATTTCCAAATAGACACATTTGAAAGAAAATCCATTTAATACAAATCTAGATGTATTGGATGGTATTATTTTTTTCTTTTAAAAATAATTAAAGAGGAAAACCAAATAGAACTTTCCATATTAATGTTTTGAACTTTTTCTTATAAACATTTTAAATAGCCTAATACTTTAAATATTTGCAAAACACTAAACAAAAAATTTCAAAAACATAAATAAGGCTCCCTAACACAAACTACTAAAATTTTAAGTAGACAAAGTAAAAGGTTTTAAGCATGTTGAGACATTTGATACCTGGACTTTATTAAAATCTTTGTTTTGCTGACTATAATACATTGAATAATAAAATTTCTGAGAGTAATTCCATGTAAGCAAATGTGATTTGGACTATTTCCCTTGAACAATTAATGGTCCTGTAAGTAATTACCTCATTTTTTTTTTACTTACCTAAAGTAACCGTACTCTTTAGAATTAAAAGATGAAAGAAAAAGAAAAAAAAAAGTTGCATAACAAGCTTTCAACTCAAATGAATGCAATGTTATATATTCTATGGTGCATTTAAATTGAAGGAAAAACACAGGTAAGAAGTGGCAAGTTCATTATATTTAAAAGCTGAAAACTCTCTTTGTAATTTAGATTATTCTTTCAGTTTACAAAGTATATTTCAGTGCAAGAACTTAAAGTTTATATAAGGAACAAACACCCTAAGAATCCTATAATATGAAGGTGAGAAACGGAATATTTCCTTCATATCAGTAAACAAGGATATCACTGTCATCAGTGATTCTGGCCCTCCAAATATGAATCCCTGAGCCCTAAGGTCACTCAGGAAGGAAGAAAATACCTGTGCGATCTGGCAGCCATGAAGCTGCAGCCACTCCCTACAGTGAGCACTGAGGAACTCAGGATGTGAAAAACACAGAATACTGGACCCAGATAGCTGAGATGCATATGAAAGGAATGATTTCAATGAGCCCAGACTCTTACCTCTTCGCTTGGATAGAAAAGTACTAAATTCCTTAACTTGGGCTATCAGGTTTTCTTTAATTCATAAAATACTTTCGATGTTCAATACTTTTGTCCTTTATTGCAAACTTCTATATAACCAACTTCCCCTCATTTCCCTTTCCGCCCACAGCTCCCCCTCCCACTCCCTCTGCTTCAACAGAGCAATTCTCTCAGGGTTACACATGAGACACTGTCTCCTGTGTTTAAAGTCCTAAAAAGTCCCACCAATTAAAACATAACTCTCAACTTTTAGGTTGTGACTATTTTTTTAAGTCGACAAAGCCAAGTATTTCTTGACAAAGTTGAAAATAAATCCCAGAGAATGAGTCTCTTGCCCAGTGTTCCTTATGAATTCTGAGCCTACTACTGATGATCTCTCTCTCTTTTTTGGACTATTCAAAAACTGAAATACTTTTACAAAAGTATTAGTGTGTCTTCCTAAAGAGATTTGTAAAGAGAATGTAAAATCTCCATTAATCCTAAGAATGAAGGCAAGGGGAGGGACTGATGGAATTCTGACCAGGTCATAAGCCACGTCCCTGATTGTGTTTTACTCTATGAGATGCCTCCCCACCTGATCGCGGTTATTGGTGAACATCTCTCATAGCTCTGAAAGAGGCATCGCCTTCACACCCCCAGTGTCACAGATCTGGCAGCCATGAAGCTGCAGCCACTCCCTACAGTGAGCACTGAGGAACTCAGGATGTGAAAAACACAGAATACTGGACCCAGATAGCTGAGATGCATATGAAAGGAATGATTTCAATGAGCCCAGACTCTTACCTCTTCCCTTGGATAGAAAAGTACTAAATTCCTTAACTTGGGCTATCAGGTTTTCTTTAATTCATAAAATACTTTCGATGTTCAATACTTTTGTCCTTTATTGCAAACTTCTATATAACCAACTTCCCCTCATTTCCCTTTCCGCCCACAGCTCCCCCTCCCACTCCCTCTGCTTCAACAGAGCAATTCTCTCAGGGTTACACATGAGACACTGTCTCCTGTGTTTAAAGTCCTAAAAATTCCCACCAATTAAAACATAACTCTCAACTTTTAGGTTGTGACTATTTTTTTAAGTCGACAAAGCCAAGTATTTCTTGACAAAGTTGAAAATAAATCCCAGAGAATGAGTCTCTTGCCCAGTGTTCCTTATGAATTCTGAGCCTACTACTGATGATCTCTCTCTCTCTTTTTTTTGGACTATTCAAAAACTGAAATACTTTTACAAAAGTATTAGTGTGTCTTCCTAAAGAGATTTGTAAAGAGGATGTAAAATCTCCATTAATCCTAAGAATGAAGGCAAGGGGAGGGACTGATGGAATTCTGACCAGGTCACGATATAGCCACGTCCCTGATTGTGTTTTACTCTATGAGATGCCTCCCCACCTGATCGCGGTTATTGGTGAACATCTCTCATAGCTCTGAAAGAGGCATCGCCTTCACACCCCCAGTGTCACCCCTTGCTGCCTGACCAAAGGCCTTCCTCACTGTGGTGGCACATGCTTATGTCCTTTACTCAGCAGACGCCTGAGGCTCTGGGAGCCACTAGGTGGAGAGGAGGCGGGCATCCTGGGCATGCAGACGCCCCCTTGGCCATCCCCCCTCTCAGTCCTAGAGCCTCTGCAGTGGATAGTCTGAATGCCACTGCTGCAGGTGGTGGTGACGCTGAGCTGGGGACTGCAGGCTCCAGGCACCAACTTTCTTTCCTTCCTGGCCCTCATCCCAGTTGTAATTACATATTTTTCTGTGTGCTCACCATATTTTTCTAATGTCTCCACCAGACTCTAAGCTCTATGAGGACAGGAGCTGGTCAGCTGTATTCAGAGGTGTGTGGTTTCTGCTCAGCTCAGTGCCTGGCACTTAGTGAGTGTTAGAAACATTTGTTGAACAAATCAATAAATGAATAAATGTTCCAGGTGAGAGAGGAAACTGGGTGTGAAACAGAGAGAGGATGGAGAAGGCTTCCTGGGGGAGGGGACAATCTGGGGTTGAAGACTGAGTAGTGAATGCTCACAAGGTAGATGTGGTGGTGTTAGGAGAGGAAGGAAGTGGTCACAGCGAGGTGCATTTCAGGCAGAAGATGGAGAAAGTACAAAGCAGGGAATAACCCTGTGCATGTTAGCAGGCGACAAATTATAAGGATTTGGTATTCCCTGAGTGGAGCTGATTTTTACCTACAGGCAACAAGGAACAAGTTAATCGTCCCACACACATAGAAGGGAAAGCAAGTCAGTGACCCAAAGCTGATGTCCAGATTTACGTTGGGGCCCTGCCATCATTAGCCACCTTGGGCAGGCAAGTAATTAGGCCTTCCTTGCCTCAACTATAAAATGACATGAGTGCAGTTCACGGCTCAGTGGGGTTGGCTGGATCAGCACAAAGATTTCTTGATCAGTTAAAGTCCGTGTCATTGGAGCTGTGAGTCCAGAGGCCACCACTCCACAGAATGTGCTACCAGAAGAGTTGTCTTATGTGGTGTTTTCTTTATTTTCAAAACGTTCAACTTAAGACAGTGGCACAGTGCCCAAACTCAATGAAGTTCCACTGTTTATCTCAAGAGAAATAATACATATGAAAAAAGTTCTTGATTCTCAAATCAAACTGATGATGATAATCTTCTCTCCTCCCCATTCAGTCAAGAGAGATAGAACATATGCAAGAATATACTAAATATTGATACAAACTGCAAGTTGATCGGCCAATCAGAATGTTGTAAAATTAGGGAAAAACATGTCATGGATGTGGCTGAACTTCCTAGAATGGGAAAGACTGGAAGGGAATCCAATTTTGTATCTTGTGGATCACAGATGTGACAGAGTTGGCTAAATAATTTATGGCTTATCTCAACCTAATAGGTTCAGATGAAATGCAAACAAAATATGAGTGGGGGAAAAATAAGATGTGTGTCACTTTCCAAAGCACATGAAGTGCATTCATTTCTAGGAAAGAGGCAACTGGAAATTTATCCCAAATATACTAGGGAGTGAAAAGACAGAAGAATTAAAACAGTTAGTAATATAGCCATTAAAAATACATGTTACTTGTCTGATTAACTGTGCAACTTCCGACAAATTAATTTACTTCTCTGATCAGTTAAACAAAAGAAAGTTTACCGATACCTACTGTATCTGTGGAAAAAAACGTGTGATAGATTCACTGTGGCGGGTGTTAGGCTTGATTTTCTTCTGGCTCGAGCGGAGACAGAAAAGCATTTCCCTGAGTTGCAAAAAGATGACA